GCTGGTAAAGCTAGACACATTATTTGATAATTATCGCCAGATCTCGCTGCTCAGTGTGGTTACGAAGGTTGGCGATGAAGAACTGCTAAGTAGACTTCTTCGCCTAAAGGGGAAGATGAGCAATTTGGGTTCTGATGAGGTCGGAACACGACTTCTCAACTGATACGAGTTGTTCAAGGGACGAAGGAGTCTTTCCATCAGGAGGAGAACACAGTTATGATCCTGCTTGATTTTCAAAAAACCTTTAATAAGGTATGGACAGAATGTATGCCAAAATGTGGTTGGCAGCATGCCTTTATTCGTGATTAGGATTCTTGAATTCTACCTGACTAATCGAACTTCTCGTGTGAGAATGGACCAAACCACATCTGCACATTACCTGATAGAAGCAGGTGGCTTGCAGGGGTCCTGCTTATCACCGCACCATGTTCTCGCGAACGAATGTGGGTATGTATCTATGCAGACTATACAGCAATTTACGCGAACTCATTCTTAAGCGAGTTGGCTAAACATCAGCTGCTGATCCACCTCAACAGAATGGTCTTGCCGTACTTTGACAGGAACAAAATTGTGATGAAATCATCGAAAACTGAGCTCGTCAACTTTTCGAAGAAATTTACCAACGTAAAGATTTTCAGGAAGTTGCGAATCAAAGGCGCGAGCTTTGATGGCAGAAAAGTGCGCGATATATGGGAGTTATTCTGGATAGGCGCTTAAATTTTCAGGAACACTTGAGTTTGGCGATCCAACTCCAAGCTCCATATTGACAACAAGTTGCTCATTCACAAACAAATAATAAGACCAGCTATGTTGTACGCTTGTCCTGTGTTCTGCAGCCTCAAAAAATTTCCTTTACAGAGACTCGAAATGACGCAGAACAAGGTGCTCCGTATTTGCACTGATAGTCACAGATACATTTCATTGGTGGATATGTTAGATCTGGGTGGAGTGGAGACAGTCACTGAACGTATCAGGAGGCTATCTCAGAAATTCTTCAAGTTTTTTCTGCCGAAAAGTCCACTAACGAGGAACGTTACGGCTATTAGGAGTTACCATAATCTGCCCCGTAAACACGGGCTGATCTATGATCCATTGGGCATCTTCCATGAACGGCACAAACCCGATCACGCTTAGTCCGTGGGAAAATCGGAAAAGATAATTCACTCAATTCACTGACTTAGCGTGATAGCAGAATTACTCTTGCCTGATTTTTTCATGACCTTTTTTCAGGAGGTTCCGGATAACTAACATAAAAAGTTAAATGAGATAAAGCAATATCGAAATCACACCGCAAGAACTTTCGCGTGAGTTCAGCAGGAAACGAGACCTCATAGACGAAGGCTAAAGCGAAAATCTGTTGAGCGGAGAGCTACCTGTTAACACCAGCGGGGTCGCCTCCGACTGTCTAATTGTGGCGCCGTGTAGTTTTGTTAGTCTCAACAAAACATTCATCCTCCCGCCATGACCCCTATCTATACCTATTCCCCATCCTTCCCTTACCCTACTCCCATATATGGAAGAATATTGTTTTGTGAATATTTAAATAGACTTTTGTTAGTGTTGTAACCATAATAAGCAAATACAGAATTTTGACTCACAATTTAAAGGTCGTGAGTTCGATCCCCGCCTCGACCAAATATTTTTCTCAAGAGAATGAATCTTTATAGTTGAAGTTGGGATGGTACGGGGAGTTATTGATACTGCTTATCCAGGACATGAGGCTTATGATCAAAGTTGTTTTAAGCCAAATATTTTTCTCGAAAGAATTAATCTTTATAGTTGAAGTTGGGATGGTACGGGGAGTTATTAATACTGCCTATCCAGGATACGGGGCTTATGATTCAAGTTGTGCTAGGCAAGCTGAAAGACGACGGAAAAGAGAAAGTCTTGGATTCATGAAATAAGATGTGATAAAACGTATATACTGAGCGGATCCTAATTGCTCGCTACAAGGAAAATGTATCATATGTTCACTTCCATAAACCAGGTAAGTCCAGTATCGCTCAACATATCTTGGAGAATGGTCATAGAATGACCATTCACGAAAAACGCGGAATGAGATCTATGAACAGCGACAAAAGTCCCATTCCAAAAAGCTCTTTTTTTCTCTTCCACATAATAACAACAGGTGGAAATCAGGTACCAAATAGTAATTAACATTGAATACAATAAAAAAATAACACAATATGCTATACTATGAATTGGTATGATGGCCTAATTAGGTGAGGTGCTGGGTCGTAAGACTCAGTTTTAGTCATATCCTGAAGATGCTTACTCGGTTAGCTAAACGTGCGGCGAAAGACCTGTGGTAATTTTTATGGTCACTTTCGGTTTTAACACGTGGAAATACATTAAAATCATCTAATTTCAACCCCGAAACAAAAACTTTGTTGTGTTGTGTATTCCTTATTTTCTTTTCAACATCAGCCACTGACTTTATATTTAATTCTAAAAAAATCTCTTTCAGTGCATCGGCTTTCTTGTAACGATTTTTATAGTCTTTATTTTTAGGGTCCCATAATAATGGATGCTCCCTGTACAATTCTATCAATTTTCAAGTATTTTCCGTGTTCCACTTCTTTTCCCTCGACATTTTAGCAAAGACACGCCACAACAACACAACCGAACCACATTGAACCACATTTGTGTGATTTTTCACTGATTTACTACCTGGTCACCTAGTTTTGACAGCGCGCACCGTCCACACTGCGCCGACAACTTGTCGTAAAATATGCAGACAAAATAGATACCCTTTGATCTTTACCGACTGGCGACGGGACTTGCAACAGTCTCAGAATTTGGAAACAAAGCCCAAATAAGACAAAAATGTTGCAGAAATGTATCGGATTTGTCGCCACTTTGTCGCGAAACATGAATGTTCTTGTCTTGTCGTTGTTTTGTCTGATTGGTCTGGACCCGGCATAAAAGATCTATGGTTTTTTCAGTTGGCCAAGCTAAAATAAAAATCAAGTCAAAACTTTCCATCCTTCGATGAAAGACAAAGTCTGAAATGAATGTCATATAAATAAAAGGGACCTACTAAATATACCACCTACCGTTTCAATTTTTTATTCTTCATTTCGGTACCAAAGTATTGCAAATTTTTCAAGTGAAATTCATCGATCATTTCGAAATCGACTCTTGGTAAGTTGTCGGAGTAAGCTTCAACAAAACTAGGCTCAACATCCATTTTGAAATTATTTTAATAAAAATACTAAGTTATGTGTGGAAACCATTGACATTAGAAAGAGCACATTGTCGTATACACTACAGAGGGTGCTGGCTGACTGGATGACAATATGACTAATATACCAGTAACGTTGAATTTCTTATTTTTGGTGCGTGGAATGAATGTATAATTGATATATTTTATTAGGGTTTATGAGCATTCACAAACCATTTGAAAATACATGTCATTATATTCTATTTAGAATCATATTTAGATATAACTTGTACTATATCAGTTATCAAGGCAAATATTATTGTCCATTTTTATGTTTAACTCCTGGATTCCAGCGATCTTATTATTGTATATTTATTTGTTTGCTGGCTTTATACTCAAAAAACATGAATGAATAATTACAGAATATTTTGATTGATCGTTCATTTTCTCAGGAAAATGGAGTACCCATATCACAATTTATTGGTTTATTCGGCATTGAAAATGTATGTCATATCGAATCCATTCTGCTTGTTTTTCCAACACTGAGTTTCAACTTTTTATTAGCTAACAGCTCGCGTAGGAACAATTCGTTTTTTTATCGAGTTTAGTTTGTACGTGTTTTAGAGATACATTTTAATATTAATATGGTACATTCTTGTTCTGATTTTAATTGTTCTTCATTGAATTTTATCATATGAATAATGGTATTACCTCAGAAGCTTTTGTTGGATCAGTTTGAGTACAATCAATTCTGTCTATACTTGACCTCATTCAACCTTCCTCTCAAGTTTTGGAAGATTTAACAGATTACCCAAGCGAGCATATAACGCTTGAATTTCGTAACAATATTAGAAAGAGGTAAGTATGTAGGAATCGTTTTTTTATAATAAATTGCAATTTGCTATATTTTTTTATTTTCGTAAGTGTATATTATTATACCTATATTGCATAAAATCATAGTTTAGGAAAATATTTTGTTATCTTTCAACTGTGTGTACTGATTTTAGATTTAGAACTCATTTCCAAACATTATTTTTCGTGTACATTTTATTCCATGTGGAGAATTTTTCATTAATTGAAACATTAATGGGTTCATATACACTTCCATAATTTTTTAATCCAGTTTGCTGTATATTATTGAATAATGCATAAAATCATAGTTTACGAAAATATTTTGTGATCTTTCAACTTTGTGTATTGATTTTAGATAAGAACTCATTTCCAAACATTATTTTTCGTGTACATTTTATTCCATGTGGAGAATTTTTCATTAATTGAAACGTTAATGGGTTCATATACACTTCCATAATTGAATTGATAATTATAGGCTACCTTAATTTTAAGATTTGGCAATGTTGATTATTTCTATTGTTTCTATCGGTGAATCAAACAAGAAGCGGTAATAGGCCCGTGACGTCACTGGCCTACCACATTCGATTTTTAATAATTAATTACGGAAAAACTATGATACTTAGAGAGTGAAATAAAAATGTTTCTCTCAACCATATCATCTCTCCAAAAACGGAGACGTGGATTAACTAGGTCTTCTCTTTCGATGTGTGATTAGATGTTTTGTTTGATGCAGATCCCGATCGAATTTCTTCACTGACTCACTGGAGATGGCCACAATAAACTACAAGCACTCAATTGAATAATTTTGAAGAATCATTTGATTTTTTCATCATAATTAAATGCAAGTATTCAATTTTGCCAGCAGGCCGCGTAACAATTCTTTATACAGTAATAATAAAGATCTATGAACTTTCATTTCATAATGATTTGTCGCACAGAATAAAACCTATCGATTTTTCATTCTAAAATATGTTTTCTTTTACAGTAAAAAAAACTCCATAGTCCTGCGGACACAATTATCAGTTCGAGTGCACAACATAATCGGTAAGTCTTCATTTGAGAATATTTTTAAGATAAATATAACTGAAATCGTATGGTATGTGAAGAATGTTACAAATATTAGGGTTTTGAAATACTTTCCCCATATATAAATACATCTTTCTGGTTATCAACATGGATGACTTTGATTTAAAATATGGATGATCGTTCACATTATAATGATCAAAACATTTCCAAATTTATTAGTCAACGTAAGTAACAAATTTAATACGTTTGAACTTGGTAGATTGGAAATTGCCTCAGTGAGTAGTTTTTATTGAAGAAACAACATATCTCTTCCAAAACTGACCGTGATGGTATTTCAAAGAATTTGTTCAGTTGGTACAGACCTTTAATCGAACAATGTGATCTAAAATTTTCAAAAAAGTCACTACTACAACCCTCAAAAGTAGATTAGTATTAACGAGATCTTACCCTTCAACGTTGACTCCTAGTAGGAATTAGACGAGATGCAGTCGACACCAATCGTCTCAAAAAATAGGGATTGATTTCGCGTTCGATGAGTAGACTAACAACTCAAGCTGAGCGACCAGCTGCCATCTGAACAATAGAATCATATGTTCAAGGGTTCAAGTACCATTATGTCTGGTCCAACCCTCATGCCATCAGTGCTATCTCTACCTTTTTATCCTATTTGAATATTGGTTCTAGGTCAGTTTGGGGATCTACTAGTACTAGTACAAGATTCAGTTTCCCTAACAGTTATATCTCTTGACTTTGGAGTTGTAGAAGTTCCTAGACCCTTTAACTTAGTGCTCTTGGTGAAAGTTACTATGGTCGATTTGGATGGGCTCATGTTGAGCACCTTTTCCGGAATTATTTTCCAGCAGGTTGAGTGCAACTTTCTCGATTTTCAATAAATTGATGAATGTAGCCGTTACTACGTGGTAGGAAATCATAATGAAGAAAAGAGAATTGAAACTTTCTGTTTATTACTACTTTTATTTATTTATAAGGACATTTTCAAACTTATACATTCAACTAATGATATAAATATTTCGAATAGTGGAGAGATACCTCCGAATACATTATTCCTTAGCCACACTACCTACGATATTTTCAGTCTTTAACACCTAACAGAACAGNCAATGTGTGCTGTTACGAGAAACAGGAAGATACCCACATTTTTTGTATAAAGAGGAAAAAGTAGAAAACCAAACCTTTTTTTTTCAGAAATTAATATCTCTTAAAAATATATCTCTTTCACCTTGAACACTTATGTTTATGACAATTTGAAGAGCATTTGGCTTTATTATACCCTTTATGACTAATATTTACAATGCATATATATGTGATAATTATTTTCCATCACCTGAAAAAAAACTTTTGTATTACCATTACCCAAGGTTCCTAATGCGATTGATTTCAGACAAACTATCAAAAATCTTTTCAATTCAATAAAACGTTTCTAGAGGGCTGAAGAGCTGCTGAGAAGGTTCCTAAGTGGTAAAAAAAGACGAATATAACAGTTGGGCTGAAAAGTTCGTAAGCTAACATAGAAAAAAATGTTTTGATAAAACCTGATTTTATCATTCAAAATAGTTGTCTTCAAGGGCTATACAACCATTATAGCGGTCAAACAATTTTTTGATATCGTTTTTATAGTAAGATTTGTCTTTAGCCTCAAAATAGGCCTGAGTTTCGACGATTACTTCTTCAATGGCGCTATTTTTTTCCAGCTAGCATTTTTTTAGATCTGAGAACAGAAAAAAGTCGCAGGGGGTCAGATTTGGATAATCAGTGCCTCATTCATGCAATTTTGTCATCGTTTTCATTGATTTGTAACACGGTCCATCGTCTTGATGAAATGGGGCCGTTTTTCCGCGATTTCATTTATCATGCGCTTCAATAACGCTATGTAATAGTCGCTGTTGATATTATACCACGCGTATCCCAAAATACTGGTACTCTAACCTTACCAGTCGAATGCTGTGTCTTGGACGCTTTGGACTCCAAACACGTGATGAACCGACTCGGTTCATCACGTGTAGTCCACTCAGGGTACGATCGTTTGATTCTGGTGTGATATGATGTAGTCATGTTTGATCCATTGTCATATATAGGCGCATTAATTCGGGTTTTTTTTATAGTACATCAGCTCCAAACACTGCTCAGGTTCTACAATTCGTTGCTGTTTTCGGTCGATTGTGAACTCGCACGGTACCCAATTTGAACATACTCAAATATTCATGCACGATATGTCCAACATGTTTCCTTTATATTTTTAAAGCCTCAGATTTCTCATCAACTTCACTTTGAGGTCATCCAAAACTATTTTGTGGACTTGTTTGATATTTTTGTCAGTAACAGCCTCTTTGGGGCTTAGTGATCATTTCAACTCGTTCAAACTTAGCATACCACTTCTCAACGGTTGATATTCCTGGTGCAAAATCTGAATGATGTTTATCGAGCCAAGTAAGCTTCGGCCTACTTTCTCGGCTTTTTCACCAAAAAGCAATGCTTTACTATGACTCAAATTCTTTTTCATCCATTTTCTTTAAACTAACAACATTGATTCACTCAAAATGTTCAATCTCACAAACTAATAATAATTATAATAATATCGTTTATTTTATTTTTTTTAANTTTTTATCAAATATTGGACTCTGTACCTCACATTCAGCTCCTTCATTTTTATTAAAAATGGTGTGACATGTACACCATATGGTATACAGTATACGAATCGCATGCAAGCATTTTGTATACTTTGTAACTTCTGCTTGTTATATTGCGGCAGATAATTGTAATACACCGTAAAAAATCATGTGGATTTAATATTAGTAGCGCCATCTGTGCGTGGGCATACGAACTTTTCAGCACACCCAATACTTAGGAGTGATGCTGTGAATGTCACTAATTAGCAGGTTCCTGTGATTGTCGAAAGGAAAAGCTCAGACCAGTAATCCTCTTCCTTCAAAAATGAAATGATATAATTCAACTCTGAAACATTACGCTTGATAATTCACCATTATCTATATAATTATTCATGGAATTAAAATTCGTGATAATTCTGTACTTTTACATATGCTAATATTAAAGGCGGTAATTCTCAGTCGCATTTTAAGAAAAAAACAAAGTTTTCAAAAATAATCAGTTTTTTAATAATAACTGAGATAATTTTGTAGACATCTTTGGCATATTTGGTACATATGTTCCATGCCTCAAGGCGCATTTTCTGATGTACACAAATTTGTATTTTTTCAAACAGTGGCATCCCTACGGGTTTCGCATTGAATATTTTTGGGGAAAAAGTACTAC